GTAGAGTCTTTCCCTTAGTTTGCACTAGACTAAGCACTCCCACAGTCTTTCCTAACTGCAGTCCCAACACAAGCTCTGGCTGTTTTCCAGCCCCATATGAGGACAGGACTGGGTCTTCCACTTTGCTCTGTTTTTTGTTTAGGCATGCAGCCCAAAGTTTCAGAAAGATGTTGAGAAACTCTTAACAGATGCCTAATCTAGATTATGAGGCAACCATGACTCAGTGTGGCAGATCTATCCAGCTCAAATGGTGTGCTCCCTGTTGAAACTTTTAAAATTATCATTAGTATTTCATTATTAATGTATCTTTAAAACTTTGTCTGATCCTTATTTGAAGCATGAATAGCACTGGAAGTAGTCCAGCACTTTGTATTTTCATATTGTTCTGGAATAGGCTCCCAGAGGATGCTGGTATGTGATTGGACTCTGCCCTTCTGTTGCCCATGTAGATGTTGTGCACCCTGGCAGCACACAGTTTTATGAACAGCACGGTGCAGAGTCTCAAGGAAAGCTAATTAATCTAAATGTGCATGAATGCTGAATGAGACCTGTAAGACGTTAAGTGTGAATTCAGCAAAATTTGAAGAAAACACACAGCTAAATAAGACATGGCTAATATAGGCTCCCTGTAAGTCATAAAGAAAGGCAGCAGCAGGAAGGGCAAGAAATCCCTGTCTTTGGAATTCAGACTATAGAATCACTCTGTGCCAAACATAAGTGAGTATCTGCATAATGTCTAGAAGACAACTGAAAGACCAGTGGCAAAATTTTCTGTGCATCCTAAAAGTGCCTTGAGCTTCACTAGAGTGACAGTGATGTCTGCAGATAGATGTAGATAGGAATGATTTTGCCCGGGTAGCATATCACATGCAAATTCAGCTACAATGCAAACACATGACAGTGCACAGCACCTTGGCTTAAATATACAAGCCTCAAACTTTTAATTCTTTACTGAGTATTAGCTCTTTAGATAGCTGCTGAGAAAAGGAAAGAAATAAAACCTCCAGCTGCTCTCTCAGATGTGCAAAAACTTTACTCTTCATTGACACATGACATGACACGACATGACATGACATGACATGACATGACATGACATGACATGATGGTGTCCCAGTAAAGTTAAAACAGAATTCTCTCTTATGCAGATGCTTTTATTCCATTACATTTATTTTATGGTTTCATTTAATTTTTGGCAAGTGTTTCTGTTAAACAGCAGTAGCTACTTCTGAGAGTAAGAAGCTGTCTTTGGAGATGTAAAAGCCAGTTTTGTGCTGCTTTAGTGAGATATCCTTCTATTTGTGCAATCTGATAAAACAAGAAAATACAAGGCTTCATATACACAAAGATACTTCACTTCTTAACTTTCCTCATATACTCAGCGTTGCCATATTCAATTGGATTACAGATGTAGGTCAAGCTTAATATGGTCTTTAAGTAAAATAAAATAACTATAGAGCCACAGAAACAGACTCTTCACTGTAGGTAACAACATTTACTGGAGAAAAATATTAGAGATCCTGCAGATTTTTGTTAATGCTGTTATTTTTTTCTCTCTGGGGCTGTAACAAATATTGAACTTTAATTACTTTACATCTAATTAAACTTATTTTGCAATTGAAAGGTTCACTGAATTGAACAATTACTACATCTAATATGAAGTTGAAATGCTCTGTGTATTTCAGCCTTCATTGTCACTTGCTGTTTAATTAAATTCATGAAAGCTTTTAATTACAGTTATTCCAGTTCTACAGGAAGAAGTGAGGCTTCATAAACCTACTGTAAATGTAAATATCAAGCTTGTTTCTGCATCCTTTGAAAACTGTAATTAAAAACAGTATTTTGCTTTGTTATCTTCTCTATTGTTTTGTTCTACGTATATGTTACCTTACTTATCATACTGATGAGAAAGGTTTCAGAATGGCCACAGCACAGGTCATTAATTTTCATTCATTTATTTTCAAATGCAATGGCTTCAGGTCTTTTCTTTTTTTTTTTTTTTTTTTTTTTGGGGTGGGGTTTGTCGGAAGGGAGAAATTAAAAAGGGAAAAAAAAAAAAAGTTGCATTAAGTTTTCCTGTTAGTTTCTACCCAGACTAAATTCTGAATAAAGTCAAAAGTCTAAATTCTTAAGACTGAATTGGACAGAAGAAGGTGTTTTACTACAGCAAAGATTAAAGTATAACCTGTCTAAACATTTCAGCACATATAACTGTGTCTTGAAATAATGGCTGACACAAGCAATTACAAGGCCCAGTTACTCATACATCAACAAGTATTACACAGGTCAAACGCTAAAAGACTGCGCAGAGAATCATTAATGTTTTTGCAACCATTAGTTGAAAATACAAATACCCCTGACACAGCAATTTGGTAATGGAAAAGTATTTAAACTGGAAGACTTACCATAAAAGCAATATGGTGTATAAAGCTGTGGGGTTTCACGGCTACAACAATACAACAGCTGCATAGTTCTAAGGCTAAAAGCAGTAAAAGTCACTTAGGGAAAGATACGTCTTCCATAAGAGTAGCTGACATGATTCAGGAAGGGGATCCAGGAAAATTTTGGGAACCCAAGAGCTCCTTTCATGTGTGAATTAAGTTCAGAACAAGTGCTTCAAGTTCAGCTCAGCAATGGGTGACCATGCTCTGCAGACCCATTGCCCAGAGGCAGAGGACAGTGGACCACCAAACATTTTGCCAGAAGGCCCCTTGTCTGTGAAACATTGGGAGTGTGGGTGTGTTAAACACATAAATGTATTGGCTTTCGCAATTCATAGGTGTGGTTATGTGGGTATAACTGTATGAGATTACAATAATAACAGATACAAAGCTCACTAAAGACACAAGATTAGACAACAAGTTAAAAAGGGCCAGAACTCTTGAGCAAAATGGAGTCACATAGCAAAAGAATTTCTCAAGGTAAAAGATAGGGGGGGGGGGGGGGGGGAATGACACGACTTGATGTAAGATAAGCTAGTGCCTGGAAAACAGAGTTAAAGCATTTTTTAGCTTAATTTAGGTTGTAGAAAGAGAACAGTGTTTGTGTTGTAGGTCTGTGGAATGTAGTGGCCCCACTAAACATGAGTTAATTGTTTCACACTAGTCTTCTAAAGTATCTTTAACTTTAAAGAACAATGTGTTGCAAGTCTGTGGTGAGATAACAGGATTTAGTGGCCCCACTAAACATGAATGAGTTCTTTCACACCATCCTTACCATACTTATCAGTTAGTTTAGAGACAGAGCCTCCCAGCCATCTGCTAGCTTTGGATACTCATTGTCTGCCCATCCTGCAATAAATTTTTCAGGAAGGTCACACTGTTCTAAATCTTTGCTAGTTATCAGAAGAATTACAGATATGGCTGGTTTCAGCTAGTTGTGTGATTACTGGGGTGTCCAACTGTGCCAAAGGTGTTAAGTACACTGTGAGGAAGACTGCTTACTTCATCTTGAAGACCCCTACTCACAAGAGGAAGACTGCTTACTTCATCCTCAAGACCCCTGCCCACAATCGCTGGAGAGCAGTGCACAGACGCTAAGAGGAGGGGACTTACGATAATAAGTTCCTGGAGCTAGTTATAATATTCCCCACCTATACATGGGAATTATGAATATGCATGTGACTAATGCAATAGTGAAAGTATATAAACCTGTAACAAATACTAATCACTTGTGCCTCTGGCTACAGTCATGCGCTCAGCGCTGTTGCTTTTGCTTTATTGACTTTGTCCCTCAATAAAACCTTGTTATCTGGTTCAGAGGAGTGAGTTCATATTTCACAGTGGGGGAAAACATAATGGACTGGAAAACTTAAATACTGTTTTCTTATGCCCCGTTAAGACCCATTATGCCCCACTTAGTTCCTGTGGCCATCTTCTCACAATGCTTTACAGGTTTTACTTGAGACTCGGGCAGGACTGAGGTTGAAGCTGTTGTTTCTACCAGAAATGTTCCCAGCTGAGGATAACTGTGGATCCTAGTCCTCTGCTTGTCCCTTCTGGGACACATACCTGTGTGTGAGCCCTCCAACACCCGCTTCTACCATGAAGACCTTCCGGCCCCAGGCTGTTAGCGTAAGAACTGACACATAACCACCGGAATGGTTATATGAGGTGTGCTGGGAAACCAGGGGCACGCGCCTAAATCTGGTTTCCACCCCGTCACATCGCGCTGGCAATTCATACACTAAGAATTTCATAGCTAATACATATTCAACACAGATTACATCATTGACTAATACATATGCATCAAAAATTGCCACATCAGTCTATTATGACATCAGCCTCTTCTGCGCTTGCGCAGCCCCTCTCTGGTGGTCATCCTGATGAAGTAAGGAGTCTTCTCCGATGAAGTAAGAAGTCTTCCTCAGCTTGTCCTGTTCACCTTTCTGTTCCTTGGACATGTCCCAACCATTATGTGGACACCAGCATTCTCTTATTTTCACTTGACTACTCCTGGTATGTTCGCTTTGGTAGGGTTTCACAATACTCCCCTAAATCCACCCATATACCCTTCCCCATATATGGCTATGTTAATTGCTTATCCTTACAGCTACCATTATAATGCTTAGTTATAAAGTAACTAAGATACACAATAGAAGAGTTTCAACTTGTTCTTAAACTTTCCTAATACATAAAACCCCTCTACTGATTAACAGATTTTCAAATATAATCATCTTTTCCTTTGTATTATTGTTTCAACACACAATTTCACCTATTACTAACAAGTCCTGGAGCTCTACAGCTGGCTCTTGGCGGGCTGAGGCGAGGATAGAGGAAGCAGGAAGTAAAGGCTGTCAGCGCAGGCTTTGCCGTTGCTGCTGAGGAGCATGGAGCCGTCAGCGACTGCCAGGGGTCCCTATCGCAGGGTACAGATCTATGCCACCGCTCCCTTCCGCTTGCCCCGCTGAGGGGAGCAGACTACAATTCCCGGCGTGCCGCGCAGCTGCCGCCCTTCCGCCCTTCTCCGGGCGACGGTGTGAGGCGGGTGGCGGTGCCGAGGTCCCTCGGGTGCTGGGGGCCGGCGGGGCCGCATGGCGGCGGCGTGGGGGGGGTGGCGCGGTGGCCCCGCGTTCCTGCGGGGGGCGCTCGGGGCAGGCCCGCGCCGCGCCTGCAGCTCCGGGGCGCCAGTGCGGACTCCCGCCGCCGCGGCTCAGGTGAGGTCAGCCGGGAGTGAGCAGAGGCGTTGGGACGGAAGGTGGTGGCCGGGTCCTGCGGGAGGGTGCTGCTGCCGCGGGGAGGCCTGCAGTGCCGTTGCCGGAGGTTTGGAGTCCCCGGCCGATGCCTTGCAGTTAAGACAACGTCGTTTGTGCTTGTGATAACCGAGGGTTGGCCTGGCCGGGGTGCCCGAGCGGAGTGCCCCTGCCATAGCAGTCTGTAGCGCGGGGGGGGCCGCACCAAAGCTGACCCGCGCTTTCCAGTAGGCACGCTTAATTCTGCAACCTGTCCCAGAACGATAGGTAATTTGTGTGTTGAACGTGACTTGATTATATGGGTCTGAGCGGGCGTCAACAAAACGTGTAGTAATGTGTAATTATATTGCCTTACTTTGCTGAATGTCACCTTTCTTTGGCAGTAACTAGGACATTCAGAGTCTGGGCTGAACCAGTTCTGTGTTCTCTCCTGATTTGAAGAAGAGGTTACACAACAGCATTTGTTCTTGCCTAGGTCAAAATCAAGTTCTTTGGCAGCTTTTGGTCATTGCGCTCTGTCTGAGTGGTCATGGGGAACTTTGTGACTGAGCTGTTTGTTTGTTCCGTCCCTGATGTGAAATCAGCACAGGTGTTCTCCTGATTCAGCTCCTCGTTTCGCTTTTGGTCCTCAGGTGGATCTGATCTCTTGGTGTCCAAATGGAGGAGAAAAAGCTGCACAGAAAGGCAAAGGTTCTGTATAGCAGAAATAGAGTATGACAGGCAGAGTAATCCCATGATTTATTGATTTACTTGCAATCTCATGTCTGACTTTAAGGAGCAGAAAATAAGCTAAAGCTACTAGTAACCGTCTTTGTGTCACCAACATTGAATGCATTCACTACCATTTATTTACAGAGAGCCAAATGGAGTTGTGCAATTCTTTGTTGAATGCTTACTTGCCTCAGGAGTCTTGAAAGGCTATTGAGTTTCTTCTGCTTTTTCTAAACCATGTACTTTTTTTTTTTATTTATTTAACTACTTTTTATGAATCAAGTAGTTCTAACATACATTCAGGAATACTTTTGAGAGAGCTTGATTACATCAATCATCTCTGAAAGCCCTGTTCCCTTAGGGGATGAAAGCCACTAAGAATGGGATGGGTGGTTTGTGTGTGTGGCATAGTAACTGAGGCAGGTGTTCCGGAGTACTTGTGATGTCCTGCAGGGCATGAGAACTCAACAAGCTCATGCAAAAGCAAAGACAGTGCAAAATTAGTAACTATAGAGTAGTAATATACTCGCTGCTCATCAGTGTTCTCAGTCTCTCCCAGCATCCATCTGTAGAGGAGCAATTAGTGTTACAGCCATAGGGCAGTGAAACATACTTTAAAATGATAGGGTGTTCAGACATTCAAAGCAGGTGTGAATATTGCTTGACCATCTTTTGGGTTGGTTCTGAAAGTGTTCCTGGGTTATGTTTAGTTTAATGAGGTTTCGGTTGGGTTCAGGGGGTGCAAAGGGGAGAAGAGATTCTGTGTTTAATCCCATTTTAAAATGATCCTTCCAGCTATGGAAGGAAGAACTCTGTGATTCGGGAAGTTCAGGAGATGACTGAAAGTTGGTGTCCATTATAAGTCTTTAGGTGAGGTTATAAACAGGGGGGGTCAGTATAGCAACTGTATTGGTGTTGTGTCGTGAGCTTATGTTCAATTTATGACTCTGAGCTTGATACTGTGTGCTGGTTTTTGAGGTAGTGGAGAATGTATGCATACTATCCATTCTCTATCCTCCTGCATTTGCTATTTGTAGTAACACTTTATATGAATGCTTGGTAAGTTATTCCTTCCAGCAGAAAGACTTAATACCTTTATTTGCGTATTGAATGTCCATTTAGTTCTTAAAATGTTCTGTATATGAAACATGTGATGAAAATGGATGTATTTATAGAATTGAAATTATACTGACCAGATAACCTTACTGGGCAAATACAAGGCTGTAAAAATTTGGTGTCAGTTTTGAAGGTGAAATCAGATATGCCTGGGAAGCTGATCCTAAGTTGTTTACAAATAAACCCTAGAACTTGGATCAGCTTATTACTGGATTGTTTTGCATTGAATGAGCCTGTTTGTAGCTTGATATTTAAGATACAATTGTCAGTCTGGAGATGTGTGCAGGGTGGTGTCCCTTTTTCCGAAGACTACATAATGGCAGGTAGCAACAGGCTCTATGAAAGCAGCGTTTTCATGGTTGGTTGACTGTTCAAGCATTTCTTGACTAATTCACAGTTGACAGGATAGCACCAGACTTTCCTTTGTTACCTTGTACACATGATGATACTTGTCCAAATTATGTTCTCGAATTAAAAAAAAATTGTATAGGATTATTTATTTCTACTACAACACTGTATTTTCCAGTATAAGAGAAAAAGTACATTGTACTTTTAAAATTATTATTATTTTTATTGTAAGCTGGAACTTTATATACAAAACCGACAACTTTTTGAAACCAAGGAGGAAGATGAGGGGAGTCTTAAGATAGTGAGGCTTGAGAACAGTAACAGTAAGGAACTTAGTTTTTTTTCCTGCTTTTGTTGTATCATTTCTAGTAAATGTCTTCCATCCTATACAAAGCTTCATTTCAGCTTCCTCCATCTGTTCATGTAGATCCTTTAATTCAGACAGAACCACTTGAAATTTTCTGTGGCCTCCATGAAGTCTTCACCACTGGGATAAAGGGCAGAGTGCAGCTTGTCTTGGAAGACCTCATATGGCTCTTAGTTTTTGCCAGTCATGTCTGAAACTCTGTGTCCTGGAGCTTCATTTTGTGGGTAGCTGGTCCAAGCTGAGCAGTGTTCTCTGTGCCAGTAACCAGAACTCTAGCACGCTGTGTGTGGGGTCAACTGTTGGGCAGCAGCTGCTGAGCCCTCAGAAAAATATTTGTTTTGGACTCTTAGCTAAGGCCTCATACTGGCACTTGGCCTGTTTAGACCCATTTCAGCCTCTGTGGTTGTCTAATTTCGAGGTTGAACAAGGACATTATGTCACCACTTCCCTACAGATTATGGTATTAAAGGTGAGGCATGAAACAGAAGAGCTTTTGCTGAGTGATGTCCATGATGCTGGCACAGCAGCGTTAGGTAGTGTGGTGAAGGTGGCAGCGCTGATGCACAAACCCAGCAGGATGCAGGAGCTGAAAGAGGCAGTGGCTGTGAGAGCAGCGCTGACAGTGTCGTAAGTACCCAGGCTGTGGTGGTCCCTGAGGCCTGTGTTTGCAAGCATTACTGTTTCACAGTGCAGAAGTGTCACTGGGGATAAGGTGAAGGTGGAAAGGTAGAGCAAGTATAGTACTCAATCTTCAGTTTGATAAATAACTAACAGCTCTGTTCTCTTCCCCCTTGTGTTTAACTGAGCATTTCCAGTATCTGTCAGTTTGTGGTGTTCCTGGTGGCTGTTAATACATCTAGTGACAGCTTCAAATTTTGCTGCTTTGTTTAGAATAGAGTTCTCCTGGAAATTACAGGTGAATTGGCAGGTCTGAAGGGCTGACAGATTGTCAAAATATAACTGCTAGGTGCAGTCATCTAAACTCTCATTCGTTCTCTACTAGTATAGAACATGGGATTGACAGCCCAGAGAATGAAACTGTTTCTTCACAGATGAGATAAAGCCCACTGTGTCAGGCTCTGCCTCTGATGTGCAGAAGTGGCTCCTGTCAACTATGGAGAGAGGGGTGTGGAGACTGGAGATTATAACCATCCCTTTTAAGTGAAAAAGTTTAGTGCTTGGGCGTTGGTGCGTTAAAATACCGACAACCACCCATCTTTCCCAACTGCAGGGAATTGAATAACCCTTTCACTTTAGCTGTGAACTGCATCAGGTAGCTTTTGCTTTCTTCGTGCTCTGAAAGCTCTCACACAGGCTTCAAGTCTAGGTCCTCATCTTGTTCTTCCCCTTCAGAAAATCCTACTCATGCGGCTACTTGATAGAGTGCTTCATCTTTCCCCTGAGTTAACCAGAAAGACAGCTGAGTTTCCGTCTCTGATATTTGTCCTTCCATGTGGAATTGCATCAGTGCTAGGTGCAGTGGCAGTTTTGGTAACACAGGATCCACAGGCTGATGCTGCTGAACTCATGAGTGTCTCCTAATTCCTCTTTGCTGACATCAAACTGGACAGAAACTGAACTAAGCTTAAAAATTTCCATCTCCATTGTTCTTCCTTCCCAGACAAACCCATCTTTGTACACAAGAAGAAGATGAAAAAGATGGAAAGAAACTCTAGTAGCTCTGAAAAATTTTCTTCTTTTTCCCATACCAGCACTGGCTATTTTCCAGCAAGAGAGCAAATGTTATTTCTAACAGGAACTTTGAAGTATCTTGACACCAACTGCCTGTTGAGTGCCTTTTAATACTTCTTCTGCACAGTTCACTTTAGAGAAATTAATGAAGGGCAGTATTTCTCACTTCACTCCCTCCCTGTAAGGCACAGGGGAGGGCTGGATATTCCTACTGTTCTGTCATCAGGTGGAGTGGGTAGGAAAGCCTGGCCCTGAAAAAGGTGCAAAAATGAGATACTGAGGAAAAAACAGGAGAGGAGTGCTACAAGAAAGGCCCAATTAATTTTAGTAAGCATGGGAGTGGTTTCCGTCTTGAATGTGAACACCTTTCCAAAATAGAAGGAAGGAGAACATCAGAAATGAAGCCAGGTGAGAAAGCTGTGCAGTTTAAAATTAAAATAATGAATGCATAATGAATACATAATAAATGCAACAGAGACAGCATTTTGAACTTAGTTTCTTGGGGAAACTAAGGTTGTGCAGAGCTCATAATGTGTAGGTGCACAGGCTGGATTAAAACCTAGATGGCTTGTACTGCCTGTGCACATTGGAGAAGATGGGCATGTAGGAACCTCTGTAGGTGTGAGCAGTGTGTGTGACTGTAAAGAGGTTGCCGCTGACACCTTTGGTGCTACAGGGAGGAAAGGCCAGGCCTGGGGAGGGCCTTATCTGTCTGCTGCTGTGGCCACCACTACAAAACAGAAACTGAAAGAGATTGCTTTCTTGTGGCAGAAAAGCAATTACATGGAACTTCTGTTTTATCAGGGGTAAACAGATGCTTTCTGGGCTTTGAAACAGCCACTTCGTGTCTCCTTTATCTTCTCTGCCCCCCCTGCAAGGGATGTTCTTAGGGATCTTCTTATCTAACCACAAAGTTGCTTGGATCAAGCAACTCTATACCCCCCCCCCCCCTTAAACCTGTGACCACCATGTATTCAGGAACAGGTTTGTATCTGCTTCTTCACTGGAGATGAAGTTCACTGTGTGCTCAGGAACCCCTTAGCTTCCAGTTTTCATAGCTGGCCACTAAGTGTCTGTATGTGGTTAACTAACAGGACAAAATGAAGGTAGTTATTTTAATTATTTTGATCCTGGTTTCACTTTTTCATTTTGTGATGCTATGCAGCTGGCCTCTGTCAGAGTTATTAAATTGGCCTCCTATAAAATACTAATTTAACTGTGATGATGAAAAGACCCCAAACTTGACAGGTTTTATATGAGTTTGTTTGTGGGCATTTGTATCTACTGCCTGAACCAAGTATCCACCAGCTAATTAAAGTATGTTGGTAAAATTTTGCTTTTCTGCACTACTGTGATAAGAATTGGTTCAATTGCTATATGTTTCACTGAAGGTATTGAAATATTTTCCAAAAGGAGCAGAGTATTTTCAGCTGTGCTTTACAGGTGTAGAAAAATAGAGATATAACATGGTAGTTTGAAAGTTATGGGCTAAAGGCAGTGGGACTCCCTGAGCTTAGACCTTGCTATAGTGTTCTGGTGTTGGCAGTAGCGATGTTTTAAAGATGCTTGGCATAAACTTGAAATGTATTTGTTTCCATTAGCAGCTACTGGTTTGTGATATTTGATACCTAAAGTGATCAGACATCATTGTGGAAGGCAAATACTCAGTACTTCCTGAAAACTGTGTTGCTTTAGAATATGTAGCTCTGTGCTTTAAAATACCCAGAAATTGTGAAAGAAATTGCTTTTAATATTCACTTCATGACAGTTAATAAAGACGTCATTAAAATTCTGAATCTTTTCATGCAGGCTTGAACAGTTGGAGTGTTCAGGATCGCACATTTCTCTTCCAGTCCCACTGTGCCCTGTATTATTTGTCATCTTTTAACTGAGACAGGCTGTTTGGCAGTATTCTGTTGTATAGGTTTGCACAAGACCATGTTGGAAGTGTTCTTGAAACAGATAATTGTACACAGCAATAATTTGGTTTTGCTGTTAACAGGATGTTATGTCTTGCACATTAAAGTTGGTTGGGACATGATCATTCCATCAACTTTTAGTTCTCTCATGCTGAAACACAGGGAGGGACCCTTCTATATGATTTCATTTATCTGAGAGCTTCAGTGAGATTGTGTGGTCCTGTCTCATTGATTCTGGAAAGTGAAGAGACGCACAACTGAAAAAAAGCTGCTTCCTATTCTGCACAAAAAAACTGAAGCACATGTGGCAGAGAAGTGTATCTTAAAATGCACAGGGAGGAGTGTGGTACAGTTCCATGGAATTAAGTAGGGTGTGAAACTTAAAAAATGATCAGTTTTGAACATAAATTACATTTTTGTCTTGTGCAGCTGTCCCTGTGAGGCAAAATGGAATAATAATTGTCAGTTGAGTTCAAAGTTAATGTTTATACAGCAAGTTGGCAGGATAACTATTCACATACCTAGCACTTGCTTGTTTTCATTACAGGAATTGCAAAGCTCAGGAAGAGGACGCTTTCTACTGGAACATGCTGCTCCCTTCTCTGCTTTTTTGACAGACAGCTTTGGGCGTCAGCACAACTACTTGCGAATTTCTTTGACTGAGAAATGCAACCTCAGGTGTAAGTGTCTGCTTGCTTGCGCAATGACTTTGTACACAATGATGTGCAAAGGCCAAGAACCGAGTTAGGGTACTTACTGCTGTGTTGGCTGTGTGCTGTTTCTTGTCTTCGCAAAATAATGGTAAAGGATAGACTGATTTGGGGCTGAGCTGCTGGTGGGATGGGGAAGGAGGAAGCAAGCCTAGGGATTGGCCAGAGACAGATCGGAGTGACAGGTCTTTCACAAGAGTTGGTGTGGTTTGGATGATGGTGCTTGTAGATGCTTGTATGCTATACCCAAAGTATGTGATAAGCATGAAAGCTTGTACCTAGGTGTTCCCAAATTATGTCTGCAGAGTCTCTGGAAATGTCCCAGTGCTTGCTAGATCAGTTTGGTGTTGCTGAATGCAGGTTAGATAGCAATAAGATCAGCTTTTCCTTCAAAGTGGATCCGTTGTAATTTTGAGACCTGTCAGATGAGTTCTGGGTTTTCTTCTGAAGGAAAACAGGAAATTGTTAGGAGATTTTTTCTAAGATTTGGTGTATGATCTTATCCATATTTAAGAAAAGCCAAGTCACATTAAAGACAGTTGCATTTGATGTATTTTGTCCATCAATATTAGATTAACTGCTGCTGGTTATTTTTTCCCCATGTATTTCTGTATTCTTTGTTTCAGGTCAGTATTGTATGCCAGAGGAAGGTGTTCAGCTGACCCCTAAATCAGACCTACTCACTACTCAGGAGATAATCACTCTGGCCAAACTGTTTGTGAAAGAAGGTGTAGAAAAGATCCGACTGACAGGAGGAGAGCCACTTATCCATCCTGATGTAGTTGATATTGTGGGTGAGTTCCAAATAAATACAGTGTGTTTCAAAATGACTTGCTATATATTGATCCAAAACCTATTCTTATCTACTAATACAGTCCAGCAACCTGAAGAATAATTATATATTAAATGATGGTGCTTTTTCCCAACATTGTTCCTTTTGGAAAACTTCTACTTCTGTTCTCCTGCTTAGAGGGAGCTTATATCTTTCCATATTGTAACAGCTGAACTTATCATAGTTTTATTCAGAACCTAGTAGAATTATGCAGCATTGGGGTTAAATCAACAATTAATACAACCAGGTTCTCACTGAGGAGGTACAGTCTATACATGCGTACAAAAAAGAGATTTTTCTCTTGTGTTTTTTTTTTTTTAGGGTCGTTTTTATGTCTTTGTTTTGTTTCCTTGATAACAGATGTCGCTTGTTTATCTGTGTTTGATAAGGAATGAAGGAAATGTCTATGTTGTCACAGTTACTGATGAAGACTGTTACTTCAGCGGAAGATAAATTACTGGGTTATTTTTAGAAGTCTAGCTCTTTCAACAGGTATTGTGTAGACTGACTGTGCCTCTTATAGGGGGAGGGATTTGTAGGCTTTTGTGCTGATTTTTTTTCTTTTTTTTCCTTGAGCCAGGTGGGTTTTTTTTCCCCTTTTCAAAATCTTGTACATTCTGGCTATTATAACAATTCTGTGTAGTGGCAAAGAGTTAGATTAAGGCTATGTAGGTGGGTGTACTTTGGTGTATTGTAGGGAACTGAACTCATCTGTTTCTGCACATCTACTCTTGTAAGTACTGAAGATAAGAAAGGATTAATATTGAAGATGGTCTTGAAAGTAGAGTGCCTGCCTACTGATACACTGAGCTTTGGTGCAGAGAGAACAGTTGGTCTTTGCTCCTGCTTTGTTTTGTTCAGGATTTGGAAGACTTTTACGGTCTTTCCTGAAGGAAGCAGCAGAGCGGTGTAGTAAGTAGAACTGACCTGTTTATAGCTGGGAAAGGTATGGTTAGAGTGAGCTGGCTTAGGTATTCTTGAACCTTGATTGTGAGAAAGCTGCAGTAACTTCATTGTTTTGGAACTCTGGAATTCTGTAGGGCATTTTGCCCATGCATGATAGCTTATTTTTTATTTAGGATTGAGTGCAGCTTTATCATTCACTAGCAGTAGCTGATGGCTTTTTGTACTCATCATGGCTACTCTGATATTGAGGGTGTAAGTTGAGTAGCCAGGTCGCTGCAAAATAATTACAACCTTGCTGCAATTCTGAAGTATTGATACTGGAAGGATAGAAAGCTTTTTTGTTTGTTTGTTTTACAGCAGCAATAGAATTCTCAAAGGTTTATTTCTGTGGCTGAAAGAGAGAGATTGATCTTTTTGAACCACTGGGCTTTCATTACTTTGTGTTCTTGTTCACAGTTGAACTTTGTAAGATTCATAGTGATAACTTTAATGGATGACAAGAGAGTAGTGATCTTGGGGTAAAGATAATGGATGTTAAGATGATTGTGCTGTTGCATTAGTTCATTCTGTCATGAATTTGTATCAGCCTGGCTGTTTTTTAAAAAGGCATATTGAAAATTGCCAGGTTAAATCTATAAACACTTTATATCTTCTCAGACCTTGGTGTTACACTATGATGTATAAGCTTGGGACCAAGATAAAAGTCTCAAAACTAAATAGATCCCATGTAGCAACTATGGGAAAACTCACTGAAGGAAAAAAAGCCCAAAAACATCTTCTGCAACATCTTTAGCATTATGTACTGAATTCAGGCTGGCATAGAGTTAATCTGGATTTCTAGATGATTTATAGAAGCTGGCGGCAATATTTTGGGTGCTGAATAGGGTTGAGATTTAAGTTAGGTTTGTTTTCAGCAAACCTTTCTCTTAACCATAAATGGTTTATGAAATACCAGTAAAGCTCAAAAATATTAATGCTGGATTACCATTACTGTATTTTTCTAATACTCAAGTGAAAACTTTGTTGTTTCAATGAACAAAAGGGATTTGATGCACTGTAGGAGACCATGTTATTCAGAGACCTGCTACAGTTTTAATACATGCACATAGATAAGCTATGACTCAGCAACTAACACTCACTGAAAGCTAAATCATGTCCTGGTGACTGCTGAGACTTTTCTGAAGCAGCTGACAGTGGAATATAGAATCCATCTCCTTTGAACACACAAAGCTTAAATTATCACTGGATATAAACTGATGGCTGTTTATTATTAATAGTGTGAGAAGTACACTTCTCCACTGATAAAATAATTTTCAGTGGGGTAGGGGATGGTTGGTTAGATGACTGTTTATAGCTACATACACATTTCAAGAGTGAAATGATGTAGAACAGACTTGTTAATGTATTAGGAGATACACATACTTTATCTGTATTTGATCAGGAGAAATGCAATTGAGAAAATGATTGGAGTGGAACATGTAAGAAGCTTGTCTGTTTAAGAAGATGCTCCTGATCATAAATGAAAAAAGTAAATGTTAAAGGGTATATTTGATTGCTTGAGCCTGACATAGAAGCTTTTAGCTTCATGCTGTTGAATTACAGCATCTGTTATGTTTCCTTTCCTGCTCCACACTTTCATTGGTTGTCTTTGCTTGTCCTGATTGTTGCTAAAGCTGTGACCACTGGTCAGCAAACAGAATTAATACAGGTACAAGGTGAGTTACAAAGTTATGAAATCTCTCTAATCGGTTTTGGACTTGAAGGTCAACAATCAAGAAACCAAGCAACTGCAAATGTTCCGCTTGTTAGCTTGCACAAATAAGGCAGAATGGACTAACTGGTCCTTCTATTTGTTGGTGTTACTGTTAAGCCTTTGTCTCTAATTTCTCACAGTAAGCTTCTATCCAAGTTGTTATTACAGGTGTTTCCACATATTAATGTATTTCTAGTGCCGCATCCTGTCTGATGAGGAATAAGGTGCATTGATAACAGCTGCTGCCTGCACTAACTACCCTGATCAATTACAATTTTTTTATTTTTCCCATTTTAGTGCTACTTTTTTTACTTTTCCCATTTTAGGCTGCAGCATGACTTTGATTTTACTCAACGCCTTTATGCATTTTGTATTTCTAGTAATGAAACTTGTATGTCTTTTTTTTTTTGCCTCTTATTAGGAGGTTAAGCATTTTGTGCATTCTGAGGCTGTAAATAAAAGCAGTGGTGTTATATGCTACCCTCTGACTGCAATGTGTATCTTGTGCTCTCGCAAAGAGTAGCTTGCTAGTGGTAGCTAGTGTTAAATAGTCTTTGGCAAACTTGTGGCAGTAGTATTCATCCTCTAAGAGGTTATTACTCTTCTATTACAACTTCAGGTTCCAAATGTCTTCACAGAGCTCTTAATCATGTTGCAAAATGAAGCTGCTGTGAATTTCAGCATCTTTGGTGTGACCCAGCTTGTCCAATTCTAGAGTTTTTTGCCCATTTTAGGGTGAATATTTTGAGAATAGCTGGGAAATGAGATAAAGCAGAAGTAAAGCTCATACCAGCATGAACAAATAGAATAAGGAGGAGAGAAGGGACTAGGAAATATTTGTGCTGTAATTAAAGCTGCCTCAAGAGTAAGGGTTCTTCAAATGTTTCTCAGCTAATTAGGGTGGAAGGGAAAATAAGCAAATTACTTTGCCGCAGCTCTGTTTCTGCAAGTGGTTTCTGAGGATTTTCTCCTATTTGTTATTGTACTGATAACTGGAGGTTTGAAAGCATGCCCTCTGGAGAACTGGTATGCTGAGGGTTTCTGCATTTGGCTTATGAGAAGGCAGCTGTTTTCTAAATGTTAGTCATATGATATTAACTGCTGCTTATGTGGTTTTCTTTCATTAGCCATTTTTTAGTGTCTTGCATAAGCACACTTCAGTTGGCTGGGCTACTACTGTGAGTAATGAAAGTATGTCAGTTGTCAAGTGCAAATGTTTTGTCCCTTGGAAGCTATTGCCTTGGATTCTCTGTAATGGTCCAGTATGTTGACCTTTTTCTGTTTAGTTAGGAGTATATGTGGTATTTCTTTCAGCAGCTCAGAGTCACAGCTGCTGGTAGCTACCTCTGGGTTAGAACTGGTTATTGATAAAGTATAGTAGGATAAAAGTTCAGGTGTCAGATGTAAGAGGTGTGGCTTGATGCTAATTATTATTGCAAAACACAGAATTCAGTTTGCAAAGCTAGATTGAGGAAAAGATAAACAAAATCAGAGGCTTTCTTCCACCAGTAAAATAGCTATTTACTCTAAGAAATGAAGAACAGAATCAGCATGCATATTCAGTGTTTTGCCTGCAAAAACCTACTGTCTTTCGTACCTTCTGAAATGGATTTATGCTAAAATGGGTCTCTTAAGCCAATACAGCTGGAAGGAGGCTGAAGCACCAAAGTGTCCATGTTTTCCTCACATCCTCAGTGATATTGTTCTTGTTTGTTTCACAGATCTCCTTTTGGGTTTTCTGTGTAACTTATAGTTGAATTACTTCTTTTAAAGTGTTCTATTTACTTTTATTTTCCTAGGTCAACTGCGCAAGTTAGAAGGTCTGAAAACCATTGCTGTCACAACCAATGGGATGAACTTAACCAGATTGCTGCCCCGACTGAAGGAGGCAGGACTGAATGCCATTAACATTAGCCTGGATACCTTGGTCCCAGCTAAATTTGAGTTCATTGTCCGGAGAAAAGGTACAAGGTTGGCTTCTAATGCAACTGTGTTCATACCTGCAGTAGTGTCAAGAGTTGTTTGGCATGTTGTTCAACTTGGTTACTTTGGTAGGGGAGTGAATTGCTATCTTTCCAAGGCTTGAAAATGTAGTCTGTACTAGCTTAATTGATAGTGACTCTTTTCTCTTCTTTCTGTAACCTTTAGGCAGGTAGAGAGTCTTTAATTGGAGCTGGTAGAGTAGAAGATGCTTAACTCAGCACAGTCGGTGGGACTGTGACTACAGTTGACAGTAAATGGCTGATTACTGGTTAGTCATGGACATCAAGACAACTTTCCAAATCTTGTGTTGGTCTCATGTGCTGCTGCTATAGTTAATACTGTCAAAAAAAAACAGATGTTCCTGCTATAGCAGACAGGAACTAAGATGCTGCAAGAACAGAACTTATCACAGATAGTGGCAGTTTCTGGAAGCTGTATTTGGGCATGCTAGCAGTGGTCTCCCATTCAAGTAGTGATGTTCTCTACTTCCATAATTTTTTAATAGGAATAAACATAAACCATGCCTGAGGTCACTTGAGGAGGGCTATTGGCTTTGTAACTTTCATCTAGTTGAGTAGTAATTCCAAGCAAAGTCTCAAAAATGCTTGGGTGTGCCCAGTGTTACAGATTCTTGTCTAAATGAATCATAAAGCTCATTATGAAGTTCAGCTTCGTGGTTGGGCTTCCTTCCAACCTAAAGCTGATTTGATCTTGTGTCATTCTATTTCTGTACAGTAATGTAACTTTTCAGCCTGTGAACGTCTAGTTCAGACAAAACCTTCGCATAGCCACTAGATGGTGCAACAACGCAAGATAAATTTAGAGAAAGGGCTGTAGAAATCTGGGGTGCTGTGAGAAGTAATTTCAATGTTTGAATCACTCTGCTGTCAAGTTCTGCTGGCAGGTGCAAAAAGGTGTCCTTGTCTACAGTCTCACTAAGAGCACTTCTTCAGATTTTTACATCATAATGCCAGAATCTGTTCCTTTCATAAATCTGACTGGAGCATTATCGTTTTGGTGTAGGCTATTGCATTAATCTCGTTGTGCCATGGTACAGTTGGCTTCCAGAGAGTATGTAATGACAAGCAGGTGTGGACTGTGCTCTTTCCTACTGTTCTCTGCATTTGAATATTACCTTGTTTGTGACATTCACTGGAAAAAAAGCCCTTCCTTTGCTACTGAAGGGACAAACCTAATCCTTCAGCTTCGTGAATTATATGGCCACAGCTCTTCATATCTGATTGGAAGCTGTTAGGAATATGCTGCTTAAAAGTAAGCTGAAAGTTTTGGGGGGATGGGGGTAATTTTTATTTATATAAACATCCTCTTCCCCTCTTCCCCCTTTGAAGAAAAGAAAAAAAAAAAAGTTTTTACCACAAAGAGAGAAATTGCTCAGCTGGATAGCACAGAGAATGAACAGAGAAGTTTCTATGATCCAGTATTTTTAAGGAGGAGAATAAAGGCTCCTTTGGGTTTTTTCTCCTTGGTTTTTTTCCAAGTTAAAAATAATAATGCTGAGTTGGGATTTTTCTTTTATTAAGGGCTGAAATTATATAAATGTATTTTTTTTTTTTACTGTGTTTGAGGGTTTTTCATTTAATAGGAGATTTCCATGTACGGAATGAGCAGAGAATAATGTGCCTGCCCTACTGTGCTATCCTGTCTACTGTGGCAGTTCCAGAGGTGACAAGATATAGCTCTATTAAGGTGAGAAGGATTCTTGATCTTAGAGTCCCACAGGCTGGTAAATTCTGTGGAAAGTAAAGGTGGCATCTGATTGTGGAGCTAACCAGGAGCTCGAGAAACTTGGAATGAATTTTTCTGCTCCTCTCTTAAAACCCTAGAATGAATTTCCAGGAGGCAGGAATTTTGTGTCTTTGGTGCAAGTGACCTGCAGTACATCTGCTTTTATTCCCAAATGACTGGGACAGAGGGACTGACTATGAGGTGATCAGTGTTTTCACTGATGTATGAAAGCAATTAGAGGACCATAGTATTTCTACTTCTCCCCATCTATCTACTACATTCTAAGGGCTGAACAAATTAAAAGTACTGTCTTGCAGGTAGCCAGTCTAACTTGTTTTCACAGCCTGTTCCTTCTTTTTTGTTCACTATAGAAAAGTCAGATAATATTGTATGGTGATTAAATCATTAAACATTGGCTTTCTTCTCGTAAGGATTGAATGCTGGGAGGTGTCCCACATAGGGTTGGTCTGGATGTGTCTGAGGTTATCTGTGCTTTAAAGTTGGCTAAAGTTATGATTTCAGAAGAAATCTAAACTGATGAAAATATTTAAATATTTCATTGGGTGGAAAAGAAGTTGTCAGTTTTAAATATCAAACAAAAACTTAAAGAAGTTCTGACCCTTGACCATGCTTGCTGACACAATGACATCTAGTATTAATTTCTGCTCTAATGTCTTGGAACATTGTGTTTATTCTTTTTGTTATTCCATTACCACACAAGGACTTTGATCTAGAGAGGGTGTTTCAATAAATGTGACAATAGAAATAAACGCCTAACAGCTTTCCATAAAAAAAGAACAGAAGACTATTAAAGTCAAAATAGGAAATGCAGCTACAGATTTCCATTTTTTTTTTTATTGTAACAGATCTTTATTTTAAATATACCCCTGCCCAAAATTCCTTTAGTAGAAATAACTCATAGTTGTTAATCAGAACAGCTTACTTTGTTTGCAGAAATTTTTGATAGCTGTTCTAAACCACACTCTTGTGCTAGCATGGCAGGAGGTAAGAGGCAGGACTGGGAACGACATTTGAGTTAGATGCATTGCAAGCTGTAATCCTGTTCCATACCTTCACAGTGAGATGAGCCCAGCCATGTGAGTGTTTTGGGTTGACAGTTGGACTCAATGATTTTTAAAGGTCTTTTCCAACCTAAATTACTCTGATACTATTCAAACTTGTGGAGGTTTTGATCTTTTGCTTGGTAGTGGTTGCTTCCTGGCCTTTTTAGTTAAGTTTCACCTTTTTGCAATCCTGAAGTCACACAAAAGGCTTTCCGAGCTATTGCAGAGCTTTTTGATTCCGTTTGTGGCTCCAGGATGTGCTTACAGCAGTGTATCATTATCTCTTTTGCCATGTTCAGCCTGCAAACTTGCTGAAGTATACCACCGGTACTGCAGACTTACTGGGCACATGCAAAATTAGTAGGTGGTGAAGGAGAAGGGTGACAAGTCATAACTTCAAACAGTTGCTTGCAAGAGTTTTTTCACTGTCTTCTCCTTGCTCTTCACTTCTCCTTTTGCAGCTAGGACTAGTATCAGGACTGGCTCATAAAGCTGTTTCTTCTGCTTTCTGGTGTCCATGCGTAATAATGCCTTTATCAGCCAGAAGGCAGTGAAGTGAAATTTTTTGCATCTTTCCTTTATTTTCTGATTTTGAGCACATCTAATACTAAGTATTCACAGAATATGATTATTTCTTATTCCTGGTAAAGCACCTACAGACTTTTGGAAAATATTGCCCTTTTGCTAGCATGTGTAAAGTATTTGCTGTTGACTACATCTTTGGAAGAAGGAGCTCAGTCTCATACAGTGTTTGATTTCTCGTACCTGAGTTTAGTGTGCAGAACAGGATGGGAGCTTAAGTGTATTACCTAGCAGTACAGGAGACTTATTCACAAACATGGTGATAGTATTTGAGCACACCCGCTCACCAGAAATGCATACCCAGAGCTCGGTAACTTGCTATCTCATTCTTGTTGCTATCACATTGTTTCTCTGCCAGCTGATGAGTATGGCAGAGAAGGAATAATATATCAAATCTAAAACTGATATCTTGATGAAAGGTCTTAACTTTGTTTAAAATTGACAGAAGGTGTGGTTTGAATGAGATGATTAAGATGCTTTCCTAAAGGTTTTTGGAATTCCAGAATTGCATTGTTACTTTATTTTTCTTCCAAATTTAAGAAGAACATGTATGGGTAAAGATACTTGCCTTAAATTAACTATCTATCTCTCTCTACCTGGGAGGAGCTGACAAGTGGAGGCCACACTAAAATGGTAGGGTGAGGCTGGGCATTTTGGGGGGGGGGGGGGGTACTGGTGTAGTTTGAGCCTCTTTACTTGCAGGTCTTCTTACCTGCAGCCCTGTTTGCTGAATCAGATTGTGTTTTTTTTCTTGTACTTAATAAGTAACCTCCTTTTGCATTCTGTATTTAAACAGGAGAAATAATTTTTTTTTTCCTTTTATATCTTAGGCTTTCACAAGGTAATGGAAGGAATCCACAAAGCCACTGAACTTGGCTACCGTCCTGTTAAGGTAAAGCCAGTGTTCATTTACTCTGAAACTGTTGTGTTTTACCATAATTGTGATTAAAAGATGCAGCTCACCTGATGAGGAATTTATTATTCTCTCCCATAAATAAATTTTAGTAAAACTGAAAAGAACTATAGTAGATTGAAGATTGTGTTCAGAGGCAATGGGAGAAATCCATATAATCTCATTGCATAGCTGAGGGTGCTTGTCTGACCCAGCTGTGAACTTGGCCAGGGGAGTTAGTTAACAGGTAGAAAACTACCCTGCAGAAAAGACATCAGTTTTCTCTTGGCTTATCTCCTTAGCTGCTTAGAGCAGACTCTGATGAGTGCCAGTGTCAGGGAGAGCGAAAGGGAGTCCTTCTTTGCGGTGCAGCTAAACCAATAACATGAAACTTCACCATGACTCAGCTGTTTGAGATTCTGCAGCTGTGGTTCCCTTCAGTTTTTCCAGTATTTGGGAAGATCTATTATGTGTGAGTGGTTTAGGCTATAGAGCTATGAAAAAACAGTTGAAATTAAACTACTTTTTAGGCTTTCCTGAAAGATCTTAAGAGTCATGATGCATGATGCTCAGACATACAGATTTGCCTTACCACCAGGGAGTGTTTCAGCAACTGCATAGCTATCTTTCTCTACAGATAAAGCAAAGAGGACCTGAGGCTCCAGTGTAAATATTGTTTATGAGAAATATCCAGAAAACGCGGTTTTAACCTGCTTTGGAGGAAGGCAGAACCAGTCCTGGAGCCTATGGTTATGGAGTGCACTGTGAACATTTCTGGATCTGGGGAATTTGCCTATGCCATAAATAATGCTGTAGAAGGTCCCCTGCCAGTGCTTTTGCAGAAGCTGTACAACATAAGAATGGGGAGTGAAATTGTCATTTTAGACAGTAAATACTGCCATACACTAGATGAGTAAGATGATGCCTTTGTTGCCTAGCTCTTGTTAGTCACCTTGCTAAATGGAGAAATAAAAACTTTAATGTTGTTGGATGCAAAAACTTAAAGGCAAGCTTGGCAGAAATGATAATCTGTATCATTGCAGTCCTGCCGAATTCTCTCATCATTTTTGCCTGCAAAAAAAAAAAAAAACAAAGTTATTTTTATGTTGCCTTCTACAAGGACTGTGAAACCTCGTGTTAAGAGGGAATAAAGTCATACTCTGCTCGCTAATTTCAGGTGTTTGCTTTTCCTGCAGGTAAACTGTGTGGTGATGCGAGGCTTCAATGAAGATGAACTGCTGGGCTTTGTGGATTTCACAAAGGATCTGCCCCTTGATGTGCGGTTCATAGAATACATGCCCTTTGATGGTAAGCAGTCTGCTTTGAGATTCTTCATGGCAGGCAGTGTGCCTTGGAGACAGATGAATCTAATTTGTGGTTATTCACCCTGTTGACTTATCTCTTGAAGTTCTGGTGAGCTCTTTTGGGGAATTAGGAATTGCTTTAAGTTTTATGTTGTATCTTTTGCAGCTTACCTGTCTTCCTGGGATAAGCTGGAGAAGGATTGGTGGCAGGATTAGTGGGGGCTGGGATACCTACAGGAAAAACTGAGATTTGTGGAGAATGTAAATGTGGTTCTCTGCTAACTAAAAAAATACATACCACAGTTTAAAGTTATGCTGGTTTTGTTAATTCTAGGCAATAAATGGAACTTCAAGAAGATGGTGAGCTACAAAGAAATGCTTGATACAATTAAACAGCAATGGCCTGAATTGGAGAAATTGTCCTGTGAAACTTCCAGCACAGCTAAGGTTGGGGTTAGACAAAGATCATGTAAAATGTGTCCCCATTCTTTCCCTGCCCTTAATCCCCAAATTCTCCCAAATTTAGCATTTATATTTGACAATCAAAATAAAAATACTCAGTGTGGTAACTGTAGGATTTTGATCAAGGTGCCTGCCTGTGATTTGACTCATCACAGTCTTTACCTTTAGAAATACAATGTGTTTATTGTGTGCCACAGTCGGATATAAAGAATTTAAGGCCTGTATCCTGTATTTACAATTTTTGAAACTGTCTGCACATCAACAAGCCGGATGAAACAGTTGTTCAGTGAAATAACAGTACTGCTTTAGAGTGTGTAGTGTCACATGGGGAGTTTCTAGCCTACATGAATCTATGGCTTGTGCTTGCTTGAGTACTGGCATCACCAGTCATTTGATAAGTACAAAAGCAAACATTTAACGAGCTTGTGAATTTCCAGGAAAAGGCAGAATAAACAGGAACCCCTGACAAAGCTGACTTTTTTTTTTTTCTTATTCTGCTGTAACCTTAGAATTGAAGAAAATCTGTGGTCTTTGGACAAATGCAGCAGTAAAAATGAGGAGTAGATGTTTGACTTTTTTTTTTTTTTTCCTCCTCTGTATTTCTGTAGAGTTACAAAGTGCCACATTTCCAGGGCCAAATCAGCTTTATCACCTCCATGTCAGAGCACTTCTGCGGATCCTGCAGTCGGCTGAGGATAACAGCAGATGGGAATCTAAAAGTTGGTAGTGAAACAGGATTCTCTTTGCTTTCATGTGGCAAAAGTAATGTTGAAATTCTTCCCTCCAAAATAGCTGGGATGTAAAGTAGGATGGAAAGATACTTAATTATAAACAGGAGTTAGCTGGTAATCCTGTATGTATTCTTGTTCAAGCTTGTTGGGCTGTTAGGGAGATGTTACATCACCTTTTTTTGGTTTCTCTGTTTTGCTACCATAGTTAACTTCACTTGTAAAACACGGTTGCAAGGCCAGGAAATATAAACATTTGTTTTAATCTTAGATGCGAAATCATCTTAAACATGTGACAAGCAGATGATTTCCCACTAAAAAAAGGATCCAAGCAGCTGCGAGGGCTGGCTTTTGTGTTCCACAAGGATCCTGTCATGTTTCACCAAACATCTTCTTGCAACTCTTCTCATTCAAAAGCAGCCCTTACATTTGTGGAGCAACTGTAGGAAAGGGAAGGGGAATAACTATTTCTTGCCACGTTGAAGCTGGCAGTTTCTGGGGGAATATTAAAGTTTTTAATTAAAAACCGGCATTTGCACATTGTCACCTGATATTGACAACAGCTGTGCTGCTGTTTAATGTCAGATGACCAAGGCAGCCTGAAGGCCCAGTGAGCTTGCATTACGTAAACATCCCAGGCTGTCTATGTGTGTACATAAAGAGAGATAAAGAAAAAAATCTCCATAAGTGTTCTTTTTCTTCAGTAGGATGGGCCTGTTCAAACCTCTTTACTCTGAGTTTAGGATGAAATACTTGTAGTAGCTATTTACTTTATTATTTCTCATTTCTCCTCTTTGTTTGTTTGGGTTGGCTGTAGGTGTGCCTTTTTGGGAATTCAGAAGTGTCCTTGAGAGATCACTTACGGTCAGGTGCCTCAGAGGAAGAGTTGGTTCAAGTCATTGGAGCAGCAGTGGGCAGGAAGAAGAAACAGCATGCTGGTATGTTTGTTGTACCTGAGAAATAACAGCAATGACTAGAGAAAGCAATGTCCTGGTACTGCTGCAGAATGCATTGACTTGCCAGGAGAAGGAAGGAAAGGAAAGCTTCTTGAATGAAGCTGCATTATTTAAGGAAAGTATTTTCCCATCTGATAAGAGTATTATCTGGTAGAAAGCTGGTAACGTACCAGTCCTGCAGGTACTCCAGAGTCTGAATGTTAGTTTTGAGTCTTCTAAGTTTCCACATGAGCTAGAATCTGGACCATCTGCAAGTCTTTCAGGCTGACTTTTGTCTTTAAAGAGATGCAAATACCACTGCTCACAACAGCAGCAAAGTGTAAAACTAAGTAAAAAGTGATGGAGTTGTGCTGGATCCCTTTGCTGTAAAATAAGTACCAAAATGAAATTGAGCTGTTGGTCCAATTACTGCATTAAATGACAAATCCCTTTTTGAGTGTGCAGAAATTCGTAACCACCCATCTATTGCTCTGCATAATGTCATGACACAGGTTCCATGATGATGCAGTCCCATCCTCAGGTTACATTAACCTTCTGAATTTATATTCATAACAACTGTATTTCAGTCACATCTGTACTTAACCATATTTTTGTAATCTGGCTGCAGCTGGGAATGCTGACCTAATATATGAACTGGCTGTATGATTACGCTAAAAATACACTTCGGTCCTTTTGTTCTCTTGCAGATTCTGCCAGTTTACTAACAGTTGGTTTTGCCCTTTTTGCATGATGTGTAAAACAAATGTAAAGGGAATTTTTAAATCTGGGCATAGATTAACTTCAAAGTTCATTGGTTTGCCCAGATAAAATAGTGCTGTGTAAATATAAGGGAAGGGGTAGAAGGATTTGGTTCCTTTACATTCAGGCCATTAATTTCTGACTTTCCGATTAAGGGAAAAGAGTGTTTTTCCCCTCTAGTAAAGCCATTTTGCCATCAGCAGCATTTACCTGGCATTGTCTGTCATCTTCCAGTTTGCGTTAATCCCAGTGTTGTCCCTGGGGCCCTCTGTGATTGGACAGCTCTGAACTAGAGCACTGTTAACAGCTTATCCATGGAAGTAATACAGTTAAATGCTATTGTTAAGAAACAAGAGTCTCAAATTATCTGAATTCTGTAGTAGGGAGACTATAATTCAGATTAGGGAAAGCTTTCTGGGAAAGGGTTCTACAGTTTGATAGAGCCATAGCAGCTGGATGCTTGGAGGCTGTGGCAGCTATGGGTTTAAATAATACCATGCTGGATTTCCCTTCCTCCAGCTTCCTCAGTCTTTACTGAGCTTTGATTTTCCTAGCATGCAGGTTGCACTGTGAAGAGCAGAAAACACAGTATGTAAACCAGATGCGTGAGTTCAAACCTAAAAAGCTAGGATTTTTATGTGTTCCTTATTTTATTTCTAGGCATGTTTAACATTTCCCAGATGAAAAACCGGCCAATGATCCTGATTGGTGGGTGATAAATCAGTACGTAATAAACATACAATGATTTTGTTTGCTTTTTGTCTTTGGGGGAGCAGGGTGGATTGGGCTTTCAAGTCTAACTCGTGTTTGGTTCTGGCTTAGGTTTAGACAAAGAAACGGATTTCTGTAAAAGGCAGTTGTGGTTCACAAGCTGAAGTAAAAGAGGAGAAAGGTCTAATGTCCCTACCAAGCCTTGTTCAAGACCGTAGTGCTTGTACTTCTCTTGCCTTTATTAGGAAATAGGATCTACAGCGGTCTTCTACCATAGGTTTTCACTGGGACTGTTTTCCCTTTGTTGCCCCACTTTAAAGGTCCATCACTTTTTCCATGTTGTGTGGTGCTGGATTGTATTTCTCTGTTTGTTTGCTTTTGCTCTTTTGTATTTGGCTACTACTGTGTTGTGTTCCAGGAAGAGGGGAAAGAGGACCCTTTGTTTTAAGTTGGTATTGACTTTCTCCATAAGGAGTAATGTTCTGTTTTGGAGTTTTATTTCTGGGGGGTTGTTTTTGGGGTTTTATTTTCTAATAGTATTTCATCTTTAAAAATAGCACTTATGTTAAATATATTTATAAAAAATAGCATTATATTAAATATATAAATATATTTATATTAAATAGCATTTTATATTTAATAGCATATATACTAAACTCTTGACAGCTCACAGGGACCTACGTAATTTTTCAGGATGCATTTGAAAAAATCTCCACATGCCAAAGTTAGCATTCATAGCAATGTTTGTATGGCTACAGCTCTGATCCATCCAGTTTCCTTTTGAGTAGTGCTTTAACTTTGTCTAACATACTGTAAGGGAGGCACAGCCTGTCCAGGTCCTCCCCCAGCTGTTCCATGTCTCTTTGAGACTAACTGCTGGCAGTCACTGCAGATTGGAGATGAGCGGAGAGTATCCCACTGTGACACATGGGGACTCATTAGGAGATTTCCCAACTGTGTTTTGAATTACTTACAAACTTCAAATCATGCTGGCATGCGAGCAGTCAGTGGGGGTGTGTATATGGAATTAATTTAATGAAACTTAATGAATGCTGTGGAAATCACTAATTGGTTTTGCTAGTCCCAGGGAGCCAAACCTGGCTTCTTCCCTGCACTGCTGTTGTCCGATCCTTTGCTGTATGGTTTGTATCCCATTTCGCTTAATCAAAATATTCCTTTTGGCAGGTTGCTGTCTTCATGGGTTCACTTCAGTTATGGGAATTTCCTCTGTAATTTAAGTTATCTCCTGCCTTCCTCCTCCCCCCAGGATTGTGCTAGTTGTAAGCTAACACAATTAAACTTCAGGTGCAGTAACACAGTAACAGAATATAAGGAGATGCAGTGTATCAGATGGTTTCAGTTGTGTTATATGTAGTGCTGTAGGAAACTTTTTTTTTGTATATGAGCAATTTGGGTGAAAATAGAGATGACTAGGTACAACTTGAAGAAAATTAGATTGTGATTGTTAGGAAAAGCAAAGATGTTTTGCATGCATTACTGCCTATTACTGTTTTTTTACTTATCACTACTTGAGCAAACAGCACTTCTCGTCCCTGCTCCCACCCATGTGTGTCTACACTGTAGAATTAAATACTAGTCTACCTTTGCAGTCCAGCTTCTGAAGACACGACACCTTGCCAGAGGTTTAGCTTGAGCTTTAAAGCTAATCAAGAAATCCAGAAGACAGTACTTTGAGTTCCTGGATTTCAAAAGGAGTATTCATGTTAGGCACCACTGTATAAAGAGAGAGGGAATGAAAGAGTAAGAATAATTTTCAGTGTTCTTCTAAAGCAGAGCAATGTTGCACTCAAAACATTTATGTCCATTTAATTCCATTCCTCTGAGGATAAACACATTAACACTAAACTTGCAGGAATCTTAATTTTAGTGGGTAGGCCATCACTTGCAGATCAAAAAGGGACTTTGCCTGAATTTAGATGACTGCAGGGATTTAAAAAATAATACAAAAACAAAAAGACCTTGAAATCTTGGATTGATTTAAACTTTCAGATCAACGTTTGGAGGGTATTATGGATGAAAAAGCCACTAAGCACATCAGAGGCTGACACTAATAAGAAAAAGAGATTGCTTGGTTTGTTTTTAAAGAAAGAGGGCATGGTGGCACAACCAATGCTGTGTCTGTTACTGTTGTGTGGACAGTCCAAGGGGATACTTGTAAGTGTGGTCTAATTCCAAATTTCTCAGACCAAAGAGAGCAGGAGCTCCAGAAAAAGAGAAACATGCTTATCAATGAGGCTATTAAACTAGTGCTTAACTGCTTACCTCTATACTGCTGTCTCTTCACTTACAAAACAAATCACTATTTATACATGAAAAAGGCTCCTTGTCGTGACAGTTGGCATTTAGCCTTCTGCAAATGCCAAAACCAAGGGATTAAATGGTGAAAAAGGGGAGGAGGGCTTACTACTACTCTGCCAGCTGGAAACTGCCAGCTCAGCTTGGAACACACTTCTGAGTAGATTTAAAATCTATCTGTCAATCAGAGGAGCATGTTTTTTCCAGTGTTTAAGCTTCAGCTGTCATTAACATGGTAAGAGCTGTTAATAATAAAAGAGCTTCCCATCACAGAGCCACCCTCTGAACTCACAGACACTGCAGTTGCAGTGCTTCTGGTTCCTGCTGTCCTTAGGTGCTGGCATGACCCTTCCCTGCCGACGGGGATGGAAGCAGGAAGTGTAGCTGCCTGTGCTGGGAGGAAGGTGCTTGGAAAGGCAAAGTTGAAAATCTGAGTGCAAGAATTTCCTATTAACCCTTTCAAGACTTTGAAAGAAGGCTGCTGCTGGGGCAATCTCAAATGGATGCTGAGATGCTGTGACTCTTTTCTTCAGAATGGATGTTCTTATAAGCTTTCTTGGCTGCTGTTTCTCAGTGTTCATAGTTTTGAAAGCAAGTTGTTTCTTCTTATTAGAGACCTTGAAATAAGTGGTTTGAGTCTTTGGATTTGTAGTAACAACTACCAAATGCATGGAACCAATGAGAGAGAAAGGCTTGAGGATAAAAGGGGATGTTTGGAGGCTTATTGAGGTTTTTGCAGTACAGAAAGTCCCAAGCAGTGCTTTGACAGGCTTCTCAGGTACTGCAGACTCAGCTTAGCTTTCCAGTTAATAATATGCATTCTCATGTTACTCATGGTTTTTCCCCTCTAGAACCTGCATTGATGCTGTTCCCACTATGCCAAGATGCCCTACAGAATTCCCCAAATTCAAAACAGTGGGGTCACACATTCAGCCATTGGCTGACTTTGAGAGCAAGATTCCCCAAACAAATGAGGAAAGCATTAATGGAAAACAAGCTTACAGGGCAACTCTACTTGCCAAGATCTTGCCCAGAGCAACAGTGGCATATAACAACAGGAATTCTGCAACCGCATCTTAGAGGTCCCTGTGTCTTCCAGAAGGACCCAAGCTCCACATTTGACCCAAAGTGCCTTGATGCTTCTCCTGTAAACCAAGTTTCAGTGGACTACCAGTCCAAAGGGGCAAGTCCAAGATCAGAATTGGGCACTATGGTATCTCGTGCCTCTGACAGCTTAACTCACACTGATGAAGAAGGACGGGCCACAATGGTTGATGTTGGAGGGAAATCAGATTCAAGAAGAAGTGCTGTTGCTGTTGCTGTGGTCCACCTGGGTGAGAAGGCATTTGGGATGGTAAGGCAGAACCAGGTGAAGAAGGGGAATGTGCTGGCAGTGGCCCAGGTTGCAGGAATTCAGGGAGCCAAGCTGACGAGCCAGTTGATCCCATTGTGTCACAACATCCCCCTCAACCATGTGGAGGTGTCTCTGAGCCTGGATGAGGACAGATATGCAGTGGTTATTCGCAGTGCCTGTCAGACCTGGGGGAGGACAGGGGTGGAGATGGAAGCTCTAACAGCTGTCAGCCTGGCTGCCCTGACTGTGTATGATATGTGCAAAGCAGTTACTCATGACATTGTGATTGAAGAGGTGAGGTTGCTTAGTAAGACAGGTGGCCAGAGGGGAGACTTCTCAAGAGTTTAGATCATACCCAGACACTTCGTGTGATCACTGCTGATGTTTGGCCTTTTACAGAACTACCTTTGCTTAGCTGGTAGGCTTGGAGACCTCAGCAGGTGTACCCTACAGCAACCCTAAAACTCCAGTTTGCCTTACACTGTCAGCTTACTGCTGGAGCCACTTATCCCTGTTGATAACCTGTTTTTTAGAGAACAAGCTTCTCCACTCTGCCAGTACCTAAATTTCACTGTCCTTACCATGAGCTAGAGCCAAGATCCCTAGTCATGCCACAGAGTTGGGTTTGTTTTTCCTTCTTACTGTGAAATATTTGCAGCTGCCGTCATCACACCATGCAACTGTGAGTTCTGGAAATGAAGCAAGTGCTGAAAGTGCTGTTATTTGGCAACTGTTTCTAAGTCAAGGATTAAGATTTCAGAATTGTGTCCGTATTTCTCCCTGATGTTTTTGATTGAATTTAGAAGGTGACAGTGAGGAGAACACAGCTTGGGAACCTTACCATAAAGCAGAGATTATAGCTGGGGAACAGCCAGGTTCAGATATGCAGCTCCCATCCCTTTACTTTGCTAGTTCTTCCCCTGCCTGCAAATGGAAATATCCACTTATCAGTTTCAAAAGAAAAAACAAAAAAGATGTCAGCTACTCAGTTCTCTTCTCTGTAAAATGATGATGTAGAAACAGAGGATTTCTGGGTTTGGAAGAATTATTTTGCTGATTCAAAAGATACCTTTTACAATGGCAGAAGCATGTTCCAGCATTTTGACCTTAGCACTCACACACATAGAGGCCCTGTGTCTGCATGCTCAAGGACTTAACTGTGCCATGCATGGAAGCAGGCATCAGCTCTCCCTGGCTGTAGAAATAGGTGTCACACCAAGCCCCAGAAGACCTGAAATTTTTCAGTCCTACAGTGCAGCTCCTACTAATGAGCAACCTGCATTGTCCTGACAGATAAAACAAACTTTAAGACTAGTAGCCACTTGGAAGAGTAAGGTAATTGGTGTTGGCTAGGTGAGAGTGTTTTCCTGCATGTTTCTCCAAATTTGCTTTTGTGAAGTCTTCTGGCCTCAAAGCATTTAACTGTCCCCATTAATGTTACAATGCCCACTGTCACATAGCATTAGATAGTTTTGATAATTGACTATCCTAGACAAGAGTTTACTTGAGAGTGTTGTTAATACTGATGGATCCTTTTCAAATGTTAATTTAAATTCTCTAAACTGGGTGTTTCCAGCTTCAGTTTGTTTTCTAGTGCTTATGGCTAATGTGAAATTGCATATGATTCAGGGTGCTCCCTTCTCCATACGCACAGAGAGTTGAAGACAGCTCTAGTAACATCAGAGAGGCTACCAAAAAAGCATCTTAAACCTTGCGGGTAGCTGCTTCTCATGAAATAAGGTTTAGTTACTGTGAGCATCAGTAAAGCACACATCACACTGTTGTACATCCTACTCACTTAAAGTAAGCACAGGTCTAAGTGAGGAGGCAAAGGTTTTATGATAAATCCTCTGCAAATTTCGTACACTAGCTACCACAGAAGTCACCTTTTCCATCATAGATTAATTAATTTGATTCTTTTTTCATTGTCACTGTGAGATAAGCCACACACACAGGAGCTACAGCTGAATGGGGAAGGGGTCAGAAAAGCTTGGTGCTCAAACTCCATTAACGTTTGTACACCTACATCCGGTGTTACACTCATGATGCCTGGACAGCACTGATGTGTCTGTTAAGTTAAGAGTAGGGGCAGGAGCATACCTAGCACTGCTGTACTGAGCACCAACAATCCCCCAGCCATGCAAATACACGAAGTTATGTTCACCTTTGGAGCTGCTGTGCCCACAGCACAGAAGTTTCCCTAGCTCAGCATGGAAACAGATTGCCAGAAAAAGGATGCACGTGTGTAACCTGCTAAGTTAACCAATTACACACAAGCACTTAACTCCCCCCACCACACACAACCCACCCTGCCTGCCCTGCTTCCACCCAGTCTCTAGCTAGTTTTGAAAACTAAAAGGAAACTAGACGTATTCAGTAGTATTAAAATGATGCTTTGGGGCATATGGTACTTTGGCTTCTGAGAAGTTTGTGATCATGCTGTAAAGCTCATGCAAAGGAGTGACTCAAGGCTACACAAGGGACTACTGAGCACATGCATGACTGCCACGCACATTTTGCTACTTACGCACATTTCACTACTTTCTTGGGTTAAGAGGGGCAGAAAGCTTTGGGCAAACAGATTTTGGTGCCATTTTATGGTTGTGTTACATTATCAAGTCTTGAAACTATGCAGATATATATCTATATAGATATAACAATATATAAATATATAGATAACAGTCAACATTTGTGAGCAAAATTAAGCTGACAGCAGTGTATGTATCAGTGGTGCTGGGTGGGCAATGGTGTAATACGTATTCATGAACTGACTTTGGAGGCTTGCTTTTTTCTCCACTGCATTTTTAATAAAGACTAATTGTAATCGAGTATGTTTTGTAGTACTTTGGATTCCTGTTTTATTCATTCAAAGCAACATCTATGTTTTAATCCACAGCTTCTATGAATAGTTAACTCAGGACGAGCAACAAGACAAGTTACAATGATTAGTCATCAGTTAGAAAGGGGTCAGTCACAATAACGTATTACTATAAAGAGTCTATTACTTCCTTTTTTTGTTGAGTGAAGCTGCTCTCTATCTGCTGGGCTTAAACTGGGTAATCCTATTAACATAATAATTTATCTCATCATTATTCCAGCTTCTCCCACATGCCTGTTTCAAGTCAGTGGCTGCATATAACAGCACTGCTTTGTGTTGAAGGGTAACATAAGGTACTGGTGCCTCCAGAGCCCTCACTCTTAACACTTGAGGGACCATGCACAGAAACTGAGGTCTGGGGAAGTGCCTGTAGAGAAGTCCATACCCCCTCAATCATAAGTCTAAGGAAAATTCCCCTTCTGATCCACCTGAGCTTCCAGGAAGTCTCTCACCTATTACCAAGAAAGCCTGTTTCTCCTTGAGGAAGTTGATGATCTGTTAACTGTAGCCAGGCACAGTGCACTTGCAGGTGCTTTGCAAGAAGGCAGACAGCAGCTCTACTGGCAGAGGGTCTCTCCAGGTACAACCTCCAAGTGCCGGAGTAACAGCACGAAGTTTACATCCTTTTTTCTAGGAGCTGCTTCCTAATTTGGAATTAGTTTTTTGAAGGTTTAACCAAAAGAAACAGTATAAAGCACCAAGCCCACCACATCCCTTCTCCTGAAGGAAGCCGTAAGAATGAGTCACATCTCTCGCGCTGTGCTGCCAAACGCCAATACTGCAGAACCTGGCAGCCCTTACAATGTTACAATATAGCTTTTGCCTAATGGAAATTCTGCCTCATCCAAGCTAATGTCCCATTTGTGAGTTCCTGCTTGTTCATTGCTAATCCAGCCTGTGTCTTCTGTGGCAGTTCGGTCTGTCTTTCCTTCGTGGCCACATCTTGAGGATAGTCACCCCAGCCTCGGACTGCCGTGGAAAAAACTGGATGTGGCACAGAAGGGAGAAGCCAGCAAAAGCTGGTCACTGTTGCTAAAGAGATTAAATCTAGGTCAGAGAGAACCGTGCTCTCAGAAATTGCTGGAGAAAGAGTGGGACTTTGAAGGAAGACACGGCTTGAAATACCTTAAGAAGGAATTTCTTTTTCGCAATGGGAACCGCTCAAAACCAGACTAAAAGCAACAACAGCTGAGCACTAAAAAAGGGAATGAATTTTAAGCTATTCTAAACCACTGGCGACCTGTAGTCATTCTCTGTAAGTTGCTGACGTTACTCAGCTTTACATGGGATTTGACTGGACAGAACCTGGCTTTTCATCCCACCCCTTCTGTGGCCTTTTGATAGCTTGCAGCACCTTCTGGCTGCCTCAGCAGCAGTTATGCAGGCATCTAAGAGCCTAAGAAGGGCTATAACATTGTGTGTGCTTTGGCCTTAATACAGCACTGCTAATTAGTTACACGGAACCACAGTTCATTTAGTAGAGTCTTGCTCCAAGAGAAGCTTAACATTTCAGGCAGCCCAGCAGTTGGAAGAGTTGCTGGTTGCAGTGGCATGACTAGACTTTCATTTTTTTGAGACTTCAGGTTAAAGTCCCAGTGTAGGTGTCAAAATCAGTGGATCCAAGGAGTCATTACTGCAAAGTAATGACTGTGGTGGGCAAACCCCTCACACATCTGGCATGCTCCCTGGAAAGGCACAGGCTGGAGCAGCCAAATCTTTTTTCACAGGCTGGGCTTGAAGTGCTTTGAGCAAGCTCGGTGCACCCTGCTGTAAGAGCAAGACAAGTTTGTTTAAGCAACAAGCTTGAACAGTGGCAGCCAAGACACAAATCCAGCTGTCTCTACCTTCCCTTGTCTCTCCACACTGCTAGTGACGTGATTAGGAAGCTTTCAGTTTAGCATCTGTGTTTTTGTACTTGCCTTCTTACTCCTTTAGAGAGCAAAGGGTACCCAAAGTAATAGCTGAGTACAAGTTCTGAGTACTGGAAGGGATGGGTAACCTGAGATGCCACTGAGCTTTGCTCTGAACAGAGCAGCACAACAAACTAGGCACTGCTCAGCTTCATGTGCAAAACCTGACTTGCAATGGCATGGCCATGCCCCACAGGCAGCCTGCCTAGAGCTCCTGGCTCTCCAAGGGACACAACAAGTGCTCCATGGAGCAAAACTTCACACTTCATTGTTGCTTAAGAGTTTCTTCCAGAAGCCCAAATCAGCAACAGTATTATAGAGACAAATGCTTCACCAATAGCTCTATCAACAGAGAGGGATGGAGGTTATCTTCAAATTCTGGAGAGCCTGCTCAAAACCAGAAACTCTTAAGTACGACTAAGCTGTTCCAGCATGGTTTAGCCTTAAAAAATAAATACAACAGAAACAGCCTTCTATGCCCATGATACTTCCAGTGTGCACAGCTGGCAGGATGCAAGGCCAGCAAAAGCAGAGTGTCCAGTTGCAAAGTCAAGGGCAGCTTGGCTGCAATGTGACAACAGGCTGGGGAGGAAGAGGAGGAGGAGATTGCAGGAGGGTCAGGCAACCGTGTAGTGTTAATATTATGCTTGGAAGATTCCACATGCCATCAGATACATAGCCACTCCATTAGTAGTGCCCTGGGCCAGTTGTGGAAAAGCTCAATTAGCACCAGCAGAGATGTGCAGCATTGCACAAGGCAGAGACCCTGCTGGTAGCATCTGCCTCGGGGGGGGGTTGGGAGAGAGGGGTTTCCAACCAGCTATTACTGCCACCTACTAAGGCCTTAACTCCCGTTTCATTAACGGGGTCATTCAGCACTCATGCCTCCCCACATGCAGCTCCAGCAAGGCTGGAATTGCTGTTGTCTCTAGTGGTGTATGAAGCTGCACCCTCCCTCCCTCCCTCCCTCCCTCCCTCCCATCCCATCTTATCCCATCCCTTCCCACTACCTCCCCACTGCCACCCACAGTGTGTGCCTCCAAGAGCTGCGCTTCCCCTCCCTGGTCCTGACGCTCAATGGAAACGTTTTAGCTCTGCGTGGCTTACTTGGCTCCAGCAGATCAGCTCCCGGGGCCATCCTCAGCCCAGATCCAGGAAACGAGCCGAGCTGAGGGAAGGAAATAATTTCTGCTGCCCCTGAAGCCTCGTCTCTCCTATTGTGGCTGGCAGCTTGAAAGGCTCCATCCTGCCAAGACTGAATCTTAATTGAGATTAGTGGAAAAGACAAGCTGCTGCCAGGCCTTATAGAGAACATGGACAGAGTTTGCCTGGCCCCACAGGAGAGGGCCTTCACTAGAGTTTACAAAAAGTAAAGTAAAATCCCCTGCAGGGCTGTGGTGTCAGTGGAAGAAGCAGGCTGAGGCCAAGGAGGACAGGAAACTGCTTAGACAGGTAGTTTGCAGAGGAGGAGCATGCAGAACCAGACCATGTGGAAAATCCTCCCATCCCACAGCCTGCTGGGATGGGAAATCACCAGCAAGGCTGAGGGGCATATTGCAATCCCCAGGACCTGAAGTGAATTAAATACTACAACCAGCCCTGAACAAACACACAAAACTATCACTAAAACTTTGCGTGGAAACGCTCCTGCTAAGAGCTATAGGAAAAAGGACAAGCTTGTCTTCTTATGAGAGAAAGTCAAGAGCAAAGTCTCTTCAAGCATCCTGTCCGCATGTGGCACCAGGATGCTACATGATGCTTTTCCAAGCCACAGACACTGATATCAAGCCCATTTTCTACAAAAGCCATAGCCAAAGCTCACTCGTACCTCTGCGATTAGGCACCATCTAGCCTCCCCTTTGGCTTTAAGGAGGCACCCAGAAGTGCTACTGCCAATTCGTAATGTACCCAAGATAATGCTCCTGGCCTGGTAAGCTTATACATGCAGTGCCCTGTCATCTCAGCCACCATCCCGTACCAGTGGCAGCAGAAATGCACAGTGGGAGTGGAGCAAAGCAAGTAGCCAGCAGTTGGGGTGATTCTGACACTGTTTGTGCCATATTGCAGATTACAGTGAATCCCTGAAGTCCCTACATCAGAAGGAGGTCACCATGGTCCACCAGGGTCCTGCTTGGGCAGGGAGCTTCAGAACTCACTTCGCTGATTTCAGGGGTCGAGGGTTACCAGCAGCTTATGCAACAGATGCCATGCAGGCATCTCAGAGCTGCTGCACCTGAGAAGAGAATGTGGGCTCTTGCTCTGGTAAAATAGCATTAATGAGATTTTCCAGGCAGCAAACACACTCTGAGGGACACACCCAGGACATTCAGCCATCAGTAACACAATGTGTACAGAAGGCTCTTGGCCAGGCAGACTGGGAGGTGTATTTAAACATAAGTTTCTCCCACTCATCTTTATAGCCTGCTGTTTCCTGCCCAGCTCAGTGAGGATGCCTCCAAGCACATCCCTCTGGGATGTCCCACATGCAGTTAGCCCATCACTGAAAACCATAGCCTTTGCAAACCTATGCCAGAGAACTCTCGCTGAATCCCAGCAGCTGGAGGGATTTCATTTCCACTTCGCCAAGGCTGGCATTTCAAGGTGTTTTTATTTCTTTTTAATCAACACACTTGGGCAGCTCTGGAGGGGTCTGGAGGAGGGGAGGGAGGCAGCACAGCCACTGTATCTGTACAAAATGCTTCACATGCACGTGAAACGACTCAGTGCGTGCATTGCAGTGCTGTTGCAGGCCATCATTCCACCTCCACAAAGCTGTTATTTACTTAAAGACTTGCATTCCATGGAAAAAGATGCCCCAAGATAGCACTGTATTTCTAAAATTAAACCCAGCTGGAGCAGAGAGCAAGTGAGTGAGCACTCCTGTGCTCCCACCCTCACGGAGCTGCTGGAGAGCCTGGCAAAACACCTCATGTGTCCTCAGCCATGAGGGAGCCAGGCTCAGAACAAGTGTCTTACCCAAAAGCAGAGGTGCCACCACTTACTACACAGGGGATGAGCATTTAATAGCAGTGATTGC